CTCTACAAAACTGGAAGTGGCACTGTGGCTCAAGCAATAGAGCGCTTGCCTTGAGCTGAAAGTGCAGGGATAGCGCCCAAGCCCAGAGTTCAAGCCCCACAACCGACAAAAAAAAAAAAAAATAGCATTGTGAAAATGGTCTCTTTGTTGTTATTACCTTTCTGTGTCTCTTGCTTAAAGACATGAAGAGATAAATTCTTCTTCCGATGTGCAATCTTAAAAACTTTTCACCTAAAAACTTAAACTCCTTCCTTGCATCAGAGATTGAAATTTATATGTTCATCATGCTTCCAGTTTTGCACTGGTTCTAGGAAACTGTATCTAAATATGGCATCCAGTAGCAGCAGCTGCACTGAACCTAACATTTTGATGCTCTTTTTTTTTTTTTTTTTTGTTCTTGGTCATGGGGCTTGAACTCAGGCTCCAGACCTTGTCCCTGAGCTTTTTTGCTCAAGAATAGCACTCCACCACTTTGAACCACAGGTCCACTACCAGTTTTTCGGTGGTTAGTTGGAAATAAAAGTCTTATGGCCTTTCCTACCCAGGCTGGCTTCAGACCACGATCTTTAGATCTCAGCTTCCTAAGTAACTAGGATTACAGGTGTGAGCCACCAGTGTCCGGCAAGAATTTTGATACTTTTAATTGTCCCCCATACTACTGCTTATTAGGAGACCTGAGTTCTAATTCCCAATAGTCACTTTCCCTCGCTGGACATCAGCTTCTCTACCTGCACATGAGATTAAGTTAGAGTTCATTTCAGATAAGTTCCAGGACAGTCCATGAATTGCCCGAAGTTTGTGTACATTTTTCCTGGCAGAGGAAGGAAGCCATTGTTGCTGGGCTCCATAAAGGGGTCACGGAACCCAGGCAGAAGCCATATGGTTTTGAGAGAACTGTCTGTCTTTGATGTTGTATTAAGGGGTCCATAGGTGTGTGAGTGGGGGAGGGGCACTGGTTTGTGCTGAGGAAACAAGCAGGGGCGGTGGTAGGTGTGGCCTGAACTCCCCTCCTTTCCCCTGGACCAGGATGCTGCTGAGGAGTCCTGTGCCCTCATCTGTCAGGTCTTCCAGATCACCTATGGGGACCAGAGCATCGAGTGTGTAGACCGGGCTGGCTACCACTACACATCCACACCAGAACGGCCATGGCTCAGCAGCCGCAGTGAGTACCAAACTCCTGTAAAACACCCTAAAGGTGGGGAGAGGGTGAGTACCCCAGGACTCAATGGCTGAAGAAGGCTTTTAGGGGTCCTATGGTCTATGAAAATTACTGGGTCACATCTTAGTGTGTAGATAAGATGACATGTTGATCGTGATGACTCAAATCAATCTCTTCAAAGAGGATTGGGTTGCCAAATTCAGAATGAGCCCGTCATGCTCCAGCTCATCCCCTTGGTTTTGGATGGCCCTGTTTTGCAGAAACCTCACACACAGAATGTGCTCTCTTAGCTCTCAGGCTATACCAGCCACCCCTCAGCCCCCAGGTCAAAGCCCATACTTCCAGAGTGAGCCAGGGATACAATCAAGGGCTAGAAACAGAGTGAAACTAACAGACATTTATTGAGCACAATCCTCATAGCAACTTGTTTGTCCTGTTAGCCTAGCATAGGAACAGATATCTACACATGCTTGCAAGGTATGTTTAAATGAGTGAATGAACTGGTAGTGCACACCTATAATACCAGCATTCAAGAAGCTGAGGCAGGAACATCCTGAGTTCAAGGCCAGCCTTGAGCTGCATAGTGAGTCCTTGTCTCTGCAGCCTTATAGTTCCAGTATCACAAATGAGGACATTAAGGCTCAGAAAAGCCATTACATTTCCCAAAGTCACACAGCTGGTAAGTGTGAGAGTCAGGATGAAAACCCAGGGCTGAGCACTGGGGGCTCATGCCTATAATCCCAGCTATTCAGGAGGCTGAGATCAGAAGATCATAGTTCAAAGCCAGCCCAGGCAAGTAAGTCCATAAGATTCTTATCTCCAATTAACCATCAGAAAACTTTATATGGTGCTGTGCAAGGTGGTAGAGCATTGGCCTTGAGGGGAAAAAACTCAGGGACAGTGCCCAGGCCCTGAATTCAAGCCCTATGACTGACAAAAACAAAAACAAAAAGACCCAAGTCTGTTCCCAAAGCTCCTAGGTGTAAGAACTTCACCCCCATGTCACCCTGAAGGCACTTAGTGCCCCCTGCTGGCATAGCTTCAGCAGGGTGCGAGCACTGTCTTCTGAATGCTTCCCATCTGTGGACGCTGCTGAGATGATTCATCAGCTCTCACAAGGGTGACTGGCAAAGAAGTGACATGACCCCAGTGTGTAAAATAATTCAGCCATCTTAATGGAGCACCTACCAGCTAGATTCAGCACTAATCACCAGGATATACTGTGACCTAAAGCCCACATGGCCCTACCTGCTGGCACATCACATGGTTGAAGCACTGCCAGCTGTGGGGATGAGTGATGAGGGAGGCTCACTGAGAAGTCGAGGTGGCCAACTGAGTTAAGAGGGCATGGCTGGTACACAGGCTGGGATGGGCAAGTTCTAGGCAAATAGTGTAACACTCCTCAGAAGAGTTCAACTCTTCTCCCCCCTGCAACACGTCATACCCCACCCAACACACTTGTCCCCTCGTCTACTGTTCCTGGTGCCCCTGTATGTCAGGCAGGAAGGTGATGTTGTCTGGGCACTGGAGAAGAGAAAGAACCACGGTCAGAGAGCTGAGCTGCCCCCAAGTTTGGCAGGACTCAACCCTGGGGAAGGTCTGAGGTGGGTCCCAGGGAGCAGCAACCCTGCTGACCATTCTCAAGGTCCCTCCGTGTCTGTGGTCCCAGGCGAGAGCTGCCGCACAGATGGGACCTATGCCTACGACGCCGACTTCAGCTGCTGCAGCTCCTTGTGAGTACCACCCTCCACTTTGCCCTCTCACCTCTGCTCACAGGCTCAGTCCTATAGAGGCGATAGGAGAAGGGACTTCCCTAGATGTGTGTTGAGGCTCAAGACCTTGAGGGTGAGAGGTCAACTGAGCTCCAGGCACTGGTGAACTCACAGGGGCCAGACCCCCAAGAGACCCCATGACCCCAAAACCCAGACTTGGGTTTATTCAAGCCTGGGCTTTCTTCCTCTCAGCCAGGCTCAGGAGGCCTGCTGAGTCCAAAGTCACTGCCACTGCTAAAATAGGCAGGGCGACTGGAGCAGCAAGAACATGAAGGAGCATGGTGAGAAACGAGGCTTGAGAGGTTGCCAGGACCAAGATGAGACTAGGTTGAAGCCTGAAGCCCAGAGCATGGTTAGTCATGCCACACACCTTCAGTCTGGCCCAGGGAGAGGAGCAGAGGTTAGCCAATGAAGACCCCTTTCCCCCTGTCCCAGCAGCAATGGCTCCCAGGACACGTTTGAGGCGTGTTGCAGCAGTACGTCCACGCCTTCTTTCCATGGCTCCCACTGCAGCGGCAGCGATCGAAGCGGCCCCGGCTTTGAGCAGTTACAGGATTACATGATCACGGTGAGTGGACGGGGAGTGGGAACAGCATGAGCAAAGGCCTAGAGGCCAGAGGAGCTGATTGCATTTCAGCAGTCACACCTAAGACCCCAGAGGTCAGGCAGGAGGGAAGTGAGGACAGGCCAGCTTACGAAGGCTTTCACTGATGTCAGCTCGCTCTATACAAAGCACTAAGTACTTTTCAGCAACCCCACGAGGGAGGCACCATCCTCAGACCCAACACAGGAGAGCTGGTCACTGAAGGGCCGGGAAGTGGGGCTTGAATCTACATTCCATTCTTAGATGCAGCCAAAAGGCTCTGATGCCAGGGAAGGGTTTTCAGGGGCAGGCTGAGCCAGACACATCCCTAGAGAGAGCTCTGGCACTTTTGCAGGAGTTGGGAACGGTTCCCTGGGACTGCTCTCAAAGGGTGCCCCCCAATACCCCCACACACACAGTTGCGGAGTAAGCTGGGGCCCCCTGAGATCCAGCAGTTTGCTCTGCTCCTGCGGGAATACCGGCTGGGGCTGCCCATCCAGGATTACTGTGCGGGCCTGCTGAAGCTCTACGGAGACCGGCGCAAGTTTCTCCTCCTTGGTGAGCCCCAACCCTCCCCCCACCCAGAATACTGAAACCCACTTTGGTGCCTTTGTTTCTCCTTCTCCTTCAGCCCCACAAGGCCAAGATCTTGAGATCACGGAGACATAGAGGGAGAGGGAGAAGGGGAAGGCCTTGCCAAGAGCTGTCAGGGAACAGAGCCCCAGTAGAGCCTCTCCATCTTCAGATCAAAGCTAGGGGACAGTGAGAGATTCTTACAACCCTTCGCTTCGGAGGTTCAGCAGTGCTAGGAGACTTGTCTAGGGCCTCACAGCTCAGGAAAAGGGCTATGAGGATCAAGTGAACAATACTGAATAAGCAAATGTATTTGGTGGTAGCAATGTGCCAACTCTTGCCTCTTCTGAATTTCTACCTGCCTCTCCTTCTATTTGTCCCCACTGTGCAGGTCAGGAGACTGAGGCTCAGATTAGCAAAGCACCAAAATGAGAGTAAGGGATGGCAAGAAAGTGAACACAGTGTCCCTGGTGAGGATTGCCTTGTTATTTCCTCTACACCAGAACCCCGGGGGCCGTTGATCTATCTGTACCCAGAGGAATGAGGCTCCGAATAGGCAGCCAATGAATGAGAGGGTGAAGAACTCGGGCAAAGCCACCCAGCTTTGTGGCAGAGCTGGGATTTGAACTCATCTCTCCACAGAGGACAGTTCCTCTCTGTGGGGAAAGGGTCGAACCCCCGGACTCACCCTTGCTCTGTGGCTGCAGGGATGCGGCCCTTCATCCCGGACCAGGACATCGGCTACTTCGAGGGCTTCCTGGAGGGCGCGGGCATCCGCGAGGGCGGCATCCTGACCGACAGCTTCGGCCGCATCAAGCGCAGCATGAGCTCCACCTCGGCGTCGGCCGTGCGCAGCTACGACAGCGCGGCCCAGCGGCCCGAGGAGCAGACCTTCCACCGGCTGCTGGCGGACATCACGCATGACATCGAGGCACTGGCCCCCGACGACGACGACGACCAGGACGAAGCCTGCCACGACGTCCACGAGTCCCCGGGTGGGGGCGACACGGGCGAGGACAACTACCTCTAAGCCGCCGGCTGCGCCTCCCTGCAGTACTGAGAGCGTCCTGCAGGGGGCGCGCGAGGCCGGCGCTGTCAGCACGGGGAATCCCATTCTGCTTGGGTCCCACTCAGCCCAGGACTCTAGTCCTCCTCGAGGCCACTCAGCTTTCTGATGTCTGCAAGGTCAAAATGGCCTCCACCTGCTGGTAGACAGAAAAGAACTCCCGGTAAATTCCCCAAGCACACAAAGCAAAATGTAATATAAGAAAAATAATATTTCCAAACGCCTCTGCTCATCCTACTTTACAGATTAGAAAGCTAGGGTTTTTTAAAAAAGAGAGAGAGGGGAAGGGAAGAGGAGAGGGTGTGGGAGAGACAAAGGAGAGAGAGGATTTGAGGGAATCCCCTTATTCTCCTTAAATATTACACCTCATTTCCTCATCTCTGAAAGTTTCAGACTCTGAACGTTTCAGGCTGGGCACCAGTGGCTCACGCCTGTAATCCTAGCTACTCAGGAGGCTGAGATCTGAGGATCAAGGTTCAAAGCCAGCCCAGACAGGAAAGTCCATGAGACTCTTATCTCCAATAAATGACCAAAAAATGAAAAGTGGAGTTATGGCTCAAGTGGCAGAGTGCTAACTTTGAGCAAAAGCTTAGAGCCTGAGCTCAAGCCCCAGACTGGCACAAAAAAAAAATCAGGGAGTAGAGTTGTGGTTCAAGTGTTAGAGTACTTGCCTTGAGTGAAAGGAGCTCAGGGACAGTGCCCAGGCCCAGAGTTCAAACCGGAAACGCCAAACAAAAATAACAACAAAAACCACTCCACTTTCTTCACAGGGCAGTCATGAGAAATAATGAAAGTCTCGGCCTCTGGCTTTAGCCTCCTGAGTGCTGGGATTATATGTATGTACCACCATGGCCAGCTCATCAGTTTTAAATGTCAGTTCTTCCAGAATGGTCCCACCAGCAGTGATCTCCACAGCTTCATCTCATCATTGTCATCCCTCAGTTAAAAAGTTTAAGGTTGGATCTCATTGCTGTTTGATCAACATTTCTTTGTTCGCCCTGAGCTTAGTTGCTCCTCAGGCATTTCTATGTACTGTTGATGCACACCTTTTGCTCATTTCCTGTTGGGTTTCCTGTGTTTTCCATGGTGATTCCCAAGAGTAGCTTACAAAGCCTGGACAGCAATCTCTGGTGGGATGTTGAGCTTCCGTCTGTTTTCCCAATGTGCCCATCTGCTAGGTTTATCTATGGCACAAAGCTGAGTCTCCAGGGAGGCTTGGTGAGCCTCACCCTTAGAGTTTCTGACTCAAAAGAGCAAGGGAGGGGCCCAGAAATTTGCAATCTCCAATGGGACCCAGGTGACTGTAAATGGTTGAGGAACCACACTCTAGACAACAAAAGTCTCTGGTTCCTAGAGTGTCCAACTCTATGGTTCCTGGAGTTTTCATATCAAATACCTTCATCCATCATTTCTGAGTGAGGGTGCTGGAGCTCCAGGAGGGAAACGACCAAGCCAAGGCAAATTGCAGTGCTCATGCTCCAGCCTGCAGAGAGTAGAGACCCCCAGGCAGAGGCCTTGGGACCCTGAGTAAGTTCCTGGGGGAGATGACCATAGGAGGAAATGTTGGAAACTCAGACTTGCCCAGGCCCGGTGACAAGGCTGTGAGAAACACTGGGCCAGTTCTTACACCACAGCTCTGAGGGTGAGGCAATTTCCCATGCACCCAAGAAAATCCCCACCCACCCCCAGAACCACTGTATTACCAAAGCCTTTTAACCCCTTGGTTTCAGAAGTCCACAGGGTGCTGCCTGGGATGGCCCAGGCCCTGAGCAGAGGGCCACACTTCCTGCTATGCCAGGATCATTTCCTAGGGTGGTTCAGTTCCTGGCATCACAAGATGGGAAACTCCCTAGGGGCAGGACAGCTGGTTCCCATGGACATATAGGAGTCCTGCAGATAGGGAACTTCCCCCACCAGCTAGAGCCCCTGGGGACCCAAGGAGAAGTGCTGATGTTAGTCAAAATGTCTCCAACTGAGCTGTCCCCTAGATGAAGGCAGCGCCCATCTTGCAACTTTGTTCCTTCCTCCTTTCCAGCTAGAAACACTGGGCGTTCTCCCTAAATGTGGGCTGCAAGGAGTTTTGGGGCCCCTGGCGCTCAATTCTCCACCCCCACCCCATTTAGGGTCTGAACCCATTCAGCTAGGCTTCGAGATAGACACTAGAGGGAGACAGAGCACAATCTCTGCCCACTGGGGAGCACAGTGGGGGAACACAGCCCCCAAATCATCACAACACAGAATTCTTTTTTTGTTGTTGCTGTTCCACACCAGGACTCAAACTTGTTGCCTGAAACTTTTGCTCATGGGCTGGTGCTCTACCAACTAAGCCACACCTCCAACCCCTGAAACTTCTTGGCTGACTCTAGAAAGGGCTTTGAAAAGGAAGTAGTTTATAAGTAAAACCTTCAAAGACAAACAACAGCTTGCAGGGAGGGCACCCAGCATGGACAGAGGGAAAGAGCTTGGCCTCTGAGACTGATGACAAGTTAGGACGAGTGTAAAGTAGGCACTGGGGCAGGAGGCTCTTGGTGGAGCCCCTAAATGTCTCTAGGTCTTGCTTTCTCACCGTCCTGTAGCCCAGGTAGCATATTGGGAGGTTAAACACGACATTGTGGGAGGACTTGCAGGAGAGAAAACCAGAAAAGTGGGCAGGTTGAGAAGGCTCTGGAAGCGCAGCCAGGAAGTATACACAATGAAGAATGGCTTGATGGACTTTTTTGTTTGGGTGGTACTGGGATTTTGAACTCAGGGCTTCATTGAGTCATACCCCCAGCCCTTTTGGTTTTATGTGTGTGTGTGTGTGTTTTCAATAGTTTTGTTGTTTTGTTTTGTTTTTGTGGTCAGTCGTGGAGCTTGAACTCTGGGCCTGGGTGCTGTCCCTTAGCTCTTCAGCTCAAGGCTAGCGCTCTACCACTTGAGCCACAGCACCATTTCCAGTTTTCTGGTGGTTAATTGATAAGAGTCCCACGGACTTTCCTGCCTGGGCTGGCTTTGAACTGCAATCCTCAGATCTCAGCCTCCTGAGTAGCTAGGATTACAGGAATGAGCCACTGGTGCCTGGCTATCCAGCAAAATTTTCCCACTTGGGAAATTCTACATTTACACCCACATAAATGGAAACTGATGAGCAGCTCTGCCTCCAGTCACATGAGGCTAGAACTAAACCAAATGTGGGGTGCTAGGGGACTGACTGAATAAGTGGTGGCTTATGCAGTAATACCACACAGCTATAAAAAGGAATGTAGTAGCTGTGTGTGGGAATTACTGGTATAGGAAGTTGCTTCCAAGTAGAGTAACTTTCCGAAATCATGGATGTGTATAGGTTTTAATTCACGGAGGTGAGCTCTTAGCCTGGTACATTTTGTGGCATGTAGGCAAACTAATGGGCAAAGCAGAAAACAGTACACTTTGGCTAGTGTTGTCTACATGTTCACAGAGGCAGGAAAGGACCAGGTATGGGAGTGCATGTCTTTAATCCCAGCTTAGAAGGCAGGGGCCTAAGGATAGTGAATTCAAGGCAGGCCTTGTATCCCTGTCTCAAAACTAAAACTAATCTGTTAAGAATAAAATTAAAGTCAGGCGCTGGTGGCTCATGCCTATAATCCTAGCTACTCAGGAGGTTGTGATCTGAGGATCAGGGTTCAAAGCCAGCTGGGGCAGGAAAGTCCATGAGACTCTTATCTCCAATAAACCACTAGAAAAC